ACTCGAAGAATGTGTCCTCTCAACTGAGAACCCAGATCTCCACTCTGTTGGAAATTCAAGAAACGGCCAATCTGGGGTGATATCTTGGGGTCCCGGTCATCCATGACAGGGTCTCCAAGTCGACTTATATCGACCTGATTAACCGCATAGATTCTCGTCTTGCAGGATGGAAGGCAGCTACGATGTCACTTGCAGCCCGTATCACGCTGGCGCAGTCGGTGCTATCGTCCCTCCCGGCATATACCATGCAAACGGCCCTTCTCCCGGCCTGTGTGCATGATTACATCGACAAAAAAATCCGGGGTTTTGTTTGGGGGAGCACGGAGGGAACGAGGAAAATTCACCTAGTGGATTGGCACACTATTTGCGCGCCAAAGGAGGAAGGAGGGCTCGGACTCCGTGACTCGAGACGTACCAATGATGCCTATATGCTGAAACTTGCCTGGCGGATGTTGACTAAACCTGAGGAGCTTTGGGTACGCCTCATTAAAGCTAAATACTTCAGGCTACGAGGGGGAGAGTACGTGCTCCGTGCCCAGGGACGGATCTCCAATCTTTGGCGAGGGGTGCTGCGGGTGTGGAACCTGATTGATGAAGGATCGGCTTGGAATGTGAGAAATGGCCGCACAGCGAGATTTTGGAGCGATCGGTGGCTCAATGATGGAGATCCCCTGCTGGCTTTTGCCGCAGATATTCCTCAGGAAGCCTTGCAACTCCCAGTGGCGGAATTCATTCTCAACGGTGAGTGGAATGTTGATTATATTCGTGCTTTCTTACCCCAGTCTGTTGTGGTGCAGGTTTTGCTCCATCCCATACCCGAGGAGAACGAAGCTGACGTGAGAACATGGCGTTTCACCACCGATGGGAGGTTCTCCATTAGCTCTGCGTACGAGCTGCTTGCCCGGAACCACGATGAGACGGCGACGGCGACGCATCCGATTTGGCGAAGCATCTGGCGCACACCAGCTTTGCAGCGCACGAGAACTTTCCTTTGGCTGGCTTCGCATGATCGGCTGCTCACAAACTCGGAAAGAAGACGGCGGCACCTAACCGAAGACAGCTCGTGCAAACTGTGCGATGGCGGGCCGGAGACTACTTCACACATCTTGAGGGAGTGTCCAATGGCTAGAGCTACCTGGGCGGATCTTCTTGGCATGGAACCCGATGAACTCTTTTTTGGCCAGCCTCTTAGGAAATGGCTGTTTCATTATCTTGCAGGGAAAGGCACCACCGTGGACAGCACTCTCTTTGCTTGCACTTGTTGGCTTCTGTGGAAGAACCGGAATAGCCACGTGTTCCAGGGCGAGTTACAGTCCCCTGCTCAAATCCAGTTGATCACTAAGCAGCTCAAGCAGCAGATTTTGAATGCGCTAGAGAAGGAGAACGAGACCTTTGGAGGAGGGGGGTCTCCAACCAGCCGTCTGATACGATGGCAGCCACCGCCATCAGACTGGATATGCATCAATACTGATGGCTCGGTTATTCATTCTCCGTTGAGCACGGCAGCTGGCGGCATCGTTCGGGGGGGCGATGGCCGTTTCATTAGAGCTTTTACTGCGAACTTGGGAGGAGGTTCGATCACCCGTGCAGAGCTGGCTGGTATTGAGCAGGGACTGAAACTGGCTTGGGAACTCGGGGCTAGGAAGGTGACTCTTCAGACCGACTCACTTATAGCAAAGTCTCTCATTGATAACACGTCCGAGCTTCATCCTCATTTCGTGGCCATTGCGGCCATTCGTCGTTGGCTGTCGAAGCCTTGGCAGGTTCGGATCGAGCATGTGTATAGAGAGGGAAATTGTGTTGCGGATTACTTAGCTTCCATCGGCCATTCATATCCTGTAGGGGTTCATGTTTTTGATTCCCCTTCGAGTACTCTTGCCTACTGGTTGTATTTCGACATCATTGGGGTGGAAACCCCTCGTCTTGTTAATGAATAAAGGTTGGGGCGCCCTTTAAGCGCTCCGTTTTCCGACCAAAAAAAAAAAAGGACAAGAAGATGAGCGTTTGGATTCAAAGTAGACTTGCAAATTACAACCCGACCCGTGACCCAACTCAAAATCGCCCAAAAAGTAGACCTGAATGACCCGAACCTCATAATCCGTGATTTTTTGGGTCGAGTTGGGTGGGTTAGCGGGTCAAACCGTTAGACCCGTTCCATTTTATATATCACTCCCAAAATAATCAAATCACTCATAAATTGGGGAAAAAGTCCAAAACTACCACTGTTTTAAAAAAATTTACAAAAATACCACCCATTCCCAAGAATTTCCAAATATACAATTCCCCGAGGCGCGGTTCTCAGTCAAAACACGCGGGCAAGGGGCGGTTTTCCATTGGGCAGCTGACAAAACGCGCCTACACGTGGCAGTCCATGCAACCGCACGATGGGCAGACGATCTGACGGCCTAACCGCCTGCCAGCGGAGTGATCCGCGTCGCCCACGGGAAACCATTGCCTAGAAGCGCGGTTTGCGCGTTGGGAAACGTAAACCGTAATGGTAGTTGAGCTAACTAACGTCGCTTTGGTAGAAGTTGTACTCGGGTGGGTACTGGTAGCCTGCTTGTTGGTTCCCATCCGTCTGTTGAGCTTCTTCTTCATATGATGGGAAGGATTGATGATGACCTCCAGTTCCATCATGATACTCCTGCCTTCAGCTCGAGTCTTGGTACTCCTTGTGGGGATGATCTTCGTATAATACACTCCCACCGTGGATACCAGATGTCTGGCCTTCTCCAGAATGACCTACACCGCCTTCGACCGTCTCGGTAAAAGCGAACATCTCCGCTTGTTTAATTTTATTGGTGGTCAAAAATTGGACCATTGCATCAACGTCCTCCTGAGTGTTAATGAGGAATTCCTCATTCCACAGCGACCCGCCATGTCTGTTTGGATATCGATACACCATACGATCAACTCTTCTAGTGCCATCCATGAAGGTAACCTGAGTGCACATTTGATGGAGCTCTTCAAGCATCGGTCTCGTACGGACCTTCATTTTATAAAAATTGCCACCCACGTAACTTACACCCTTTTCGGTCTCTTCCGTGTAACCATTCCACCGCAACCCAAGCGTGAACCTTTGGAATGCCATCTGCAATAAAACTGTAATTAAGTTACTAACATAAAAATCACAAATGACAACAAAAAGTAATACAAAACAAACTTACTAATTAACGTTAATCGCAAACCGCTTGTTGACCAGGCGATTCTATGGTAAACCGTGGCCTGGTTGTGCAGTTTCTATTTTAACCGCCCCTTAGTGGAGCGGTTTTTGATAAACGGTGGCATTTTTGGAAATTCTTGGGAATGGGTGATATTTTTGTAATTTTTTTTAAAACAGTGGTAGTTTTGGATTTTTTTTCATAAATTGGTGAGATGTTTAAAAAAATCACAAGGATTTGAATGGCATGTTTGGAGTTTAAGGATAATCAAATATCATGTGTTTCTTGTAGTAGTATTACTCTTGTGATTGTTTTTCGACGATTTGCGCAATTTGTATTTCATTTCATTAGCGTGGGAGGATTTGAGAATATGTTAATTGACATGTGTTAGGTAAACTATTGTCATGCATATGTGAAAATAAGTGTTCTTTAAGAAAATATGAAGCATGTTTGATATTGTTTTTGAGAACGCTCATAACCCGAAACTAAATGGGTTAGGTCAATATTTGAGTCGAAATCAGCCAACCAAATATGACATGATCTGTAACCGAATTCCACAACCCGAAATTACCCAACCCGACCCGATTGTCAGGTCTAATTCAAAGATCGGATTAGTGAGATATGGGTCAAACAAGTTGAGTAGTGATTTTTGGTGGAACGGAAGACGTTTAAGAGGCTGAAGAGGAGTTCAATCCCACAAAACAAATGAAGTGCCCAAAAATTTTGTTTCTAAAGTTCACATGTCCTTAATCGATGCCCAGAGTATTGTGTAATGGCAGGCACTAGAAGACGAGTCATTCCTAGAAACCTTACAAGGGGTTGTTCTACCTCCCGAGAAACTTCTAAGTTAAAAAATGTCAAGAAACTCCAAAGAACAACAATAGTGACCTACCTTGTGACCAAAGGCGCCAAAAACTCGAGATGTCGGGTACTTTTGTGTTTTGTGCTTTCCTTCGAATATGAGTGGATATAAAATTCTATTGTGTAAGTTGTGAACCTTAAAGATTCCAAAAATTATGTATGTGTATGATGTTTGACTTTTATTGATGTTTGTTTACCTTGCTTTGTATATTTATTGATTATGAATTTATGATCCTTAGTTGTGTTCATATGAGATGATTGGAGGCAATATCTTGTATGGTTATTCGCACCAATAAATGATACATGTATGTATAGATAGTATGACGACAAAGGAAAAGGGTAATCGTGATAGCATAACTTATTAGCTATATGCATGCCAACCTAATCCATCTCTAAATGATAGGTCCACCGGAAAGGGTAGGATATTGGATCAAAAAGTGAGTGGAGAGATCCGTGTGAGTATCAGTAATTAGATGTATCCATTAAATACTAGCATAGAATCTCTAGGGAAAACAATGCATATGCAACACCTTTCCTTTTTGCGCATTTCGTTTTCAAATGCTTTGCTTTACCTTTTGGGCTAATACCACTGGAAATACCATCTTTTAGCCAAAGTGCCATTTATATTACGCACTTTCAATAAACACAAAAACATTCCAACGTATTAGGGGTTTGCGTCATTTGTGTTGCGCGGATTTTTGTTGACTATTAAAGTTAACCATTGACTTAACGGCGGTCAACCTTTGTCTGAGCATTGATGAAGTGGCGCTTATGTGTCATCCACGTATGCGACACGTAGACGCCACGTAGGAAAATAATATTTAAATTTAAATTAATTTTTAATAATGAAATTTTTAATATTTTTATTGGAAATAAATATTTGGTTAACCTCACCCACCACGACACACACACCCTCGCCGGCCGCCGCCTGCCCCAATTTCCATCGTTGAGAATGCAACTCACCCCAAAAAACTCTACATCAACATCTTCAGCAATCTTCTTCCATTATTCCCACTATGTTTCCTACCAAATCCACCACTCCCATGAACCCAGTTCGAGAAGAGCCACCATGGTTATCGAAATAGATGGCCTCGTCGTAACCTCCGTCGTCCACTTTGCTCAATTACCTAGCTCTATATGTATATCGGGATCGAATTCCAAATCGGGATCTAGCATATGTCTCTCCGAGGTAGAGGTGGCAATTAGTATTCAAATCCATGAATCCAATCCAATCCATCCACCAAATTATCCACCTAATCCAATCCATTTAAATCCAATCCATTTGATCCAAATCCAATTGGATTGGTGGATTTATGGATCAATCCATGGATTCAAATGACAAATTACAGTTTGGTACCTATATTTTTTATATTTTACAATTTGGTACCTAAAATTTATAGTTTTATACGAAAAATAACATTGGAAAATTACATTTTGGTACCTAAAATTTTTCATCATGACATTTTAGTACCTAAACTTTTCAAAAATTACATTTTTGTCCAAGCCTTGGATGTCATTTGGATTCATGGATCAATCCACCAATCCATTTGATCCAATCCATGAATCCACCAATCCATTTGATCCATTGATCCACCAATCCAATCCACGAAGCCACGAATCTGATCCAATTGGGCTCTACTCCGAGGCCATCTTGATGCAAAACCCTTCCTCTACGGCCCTTCAATTTCTAGACGTCTGGTTCTTATTTAGCTCCGATCGATCCGATTACACATCGGGGACCGATGGCGGACACTCCACCGCCACTGTTGCTGGTCACGGCGGCCCGATCTCTTTTCCACGGCTTGTCACAGCAGCGACTCCAGTGGCGTTGCCCTAACCAGTTACTGCTACGTCTCGCTAAGCGATTTCTCCTCCCGATTCTCGCTGCCTCCATCGTTTCCTTCACCTCCTTCGATTTAACATCTTAAAAGCAGATCTTTTCAGCAGACGAGTCTGAATAAGTGGGATCCGATTTGGACTTCGTAATCGGTTCGAGTTTCATGTTCGCTTCTCCCTCCTCCTTGTTCCTGGCTTTCGGTTGCAGACTCGTGGGATTAGAATGGAACGACCAATCCTCCCCGGAATTGTACCGCTCTCTTTTCTTCTCGTTGGCTTATACAGCCTGCAGGGACGGAGAGAGGAGCTGGGGTCAGGGGATTGGAGAGAGGTGAGAGCAGTGGGCGGATGCCAATCCTTTTTTTTTATCCAAGATAAGCCCCAAGGCATGGACGGACAACAAAAAACAAAACATATAATAATAAAGAACGGTAATCCGTATGCAACCGGATTCCCGATGAAAGAGCCTATTATGCCACTAGGTGGGCAGCTCTGAGAAAGCTCCAAGGAGCGAAAAGACACGAAACTGACACGAGGGACAGGAAGAGAGAAAAAAGAAACTTCCCTGTAAGTGGCTCATGCACTGGGAAGAGAATGCTTCCTCGATGTAGCATCCATGTTGATCAGTTGAGAAACCCCGCAATATGTAACAATCAATACATTAAGGGTAAGATACAATCACATAGCTTCACTAAAGAGAAGTAATTTGATATGATCATCGATAATACCGTAATAAAATTACGAAAGTAAAATGGAATA